TATCCTGCACCTTTGCAGGTTGGAATACATCTCTGGCCTTCTATCTTTGGGAATATCTGGCATATCATAGGGAAATCTGGATGAGCTGCGTGGATAATTTCTGTAGTTTGAGGTGTTGAAGGAATTTGGTAGACTCCTGTGTTGTGTCAGATGTCACCTGACAACTTGATTTAATCCTCTTACCATATTTTTATTTTTCTGGTGCTCTAAGTAAAGGTGGGAGATGCCATTGGTGTAACCAGGCTTCTTTAGTTGCAATAAATTATCTTACTATGTCTATTAAGATGAGCATAGGGATCACTTGAGAGAAAAAAAATGCTCTTTAACCAAAACAAGCCTTAAGGATTTGTTCAGTATTAAATGAATTTCAAAAGTGCTCCGTCTGCTTCAGTACAATTAGAAATCATGCAGTAGGGCTGATCAGCTCCATCTTGTTGCATTAGTAGGTGCTATTAATTCTCTTCTTGTATTTGAAAGAGCTCTTTAATTCCCAATGGAAAGGTGGATTACACAGTTCCTTCCTAGATTAAGCAGTTTGCACATGCCCTTTCATAATTTGAGAGGTTAGATTGGCTTTTTGAAAGCATCCCATCTTTATCTGAGTAGCCTTTCATTTGAAGACTAGCAAATGGAATTTCTGCTTGGTTCCCAAGTGAATTGCTATCAGTTTCTAAGTTCTTACCTTGATATTATTCTAATTTTTCAAGCCAACCTTGGTTTTGCCTACCTTTGTAGGTGTACAGATTGAGTGAGGAAGCAGCTTTTCTTTCTGAAGAAATGCGACTAAGAACTGAATTCTGTTTTTAAGACTGCCACCTGCAAATTATAAAGCTGGGCCTTATTTTCCGTGGCACTCTGTGGCATCACTTGGTCTAGAGTGACATTTCAAAAACAAAAACAAAACAAAACAAAAAACCCAACACAAAAAAACCCAACAACCAACCAAACAAAAAACAAACCTGAAAAAACAAGCACATGCTTCTGAATGAAAATACCCAGTCTAATTTTTATGCTGGGAATGATGTTTATTGTTAATATAGGCAATGACTTTGCTTTCTAGCTGTGTACTATATATATGCTTTAACTCACTAACTTAACCAAACCTATAGACATCTACACAGGGCTTTTAGTATAGCCAAAATATAGTAAATTACCAATAAATAACATATGAAAGATGCCATAGCCTGTACTAGAGACAGATGGTGGAGCAGAATCCTGCTTTAGCGATTAACTGAGGCTGGAAGTGAATTCCTTGCACTGCAGCTAGAGTCTTGTTGCGAAGGCAGACAGAAGCAGGTACCCACATGGCGGCTTCTGGGCAGCCTAGGGAGTCCAGGATCTCCAGATTCTCAAAGCAGCGACAGAGCAGGGCTTAGCAGATCAGAATTGATCTATTGAGTCCCATCTTACATAAACATCTGAGTTAACTGTCATGTGCTGGGGGATAAGAGATTCTTTGTGTGGCTGCCATACTGTTACTAAGGCAATAACCTTTATGCTAGATCCTTGCAACTAAAATGTTAATGCAGGATGAGGCCAATATAGAAGGGCAGTTATAATACTGCAGGAATTTGAGCGTTGCTGGATAAAACATGGCAGATTACTACCAAGAACAGTGTTTTGAATTTCCTTTAATCCTTTATCAAGAATATGCTGGCAGCTATTTAATGTAGATGGTTTTATAACCACTGCAGAAGTTTAAATGTAAAATAGCAACATAAAAATGTTTTCTAATGCAAGGCCCAAGGAAGAATCTAAAATTGTCAATTTTTTCCTTTTTTTGTAAAAGGACCTCTAAAGTGCCTTTTAGAGTTAATAAAACCGAGTAGAATGAATTGCTGAAAAACCTAAAAGCAAAAAGAAATAAGCTATGTCTGTGGGACCCCTTATTATCTGTGTCCAGATCCTGGAGCCGCTGAATGCTGGTCTCTGTTGGGAGCTGTGAGGTAATGTAGTGCTCTGCCAAAGCAAGCCTGCCGTTCCCGTGCGCAGCTGGGAGGCAAGGACCCACCGTGAGAGGGCGAGTGAGTCGTTTGGAGTAGGATGCAATCCCTGCTTCTTGCAGCTTTTTAGTGCAAAAGTGCTGTGTGCCGTTAAAAGCTGAAACTGGTGAGCACTTTCAGTAAGTAGTCCTTCATGTGGAAATGGGAGGAAAAAAAATCAGTGGTGTTAACCCATTTCACATAATTTTAAAGTCATTCTACCATCACCTGCTTAGTTGTTATGGAATGTAGTTATGTGTCAACAGAGATGGAAAAAATCCTATGCAAAAAATGCAGGAAATCACATTCTTCCTCACAACTGCAGTTAAAAAAACAGAAGACCAGAAGGTACCTGCCTGATCATAGTCCGGTTGCCATCTGTTCTCAGGTGACTCTGTTGGTGTCCCATTTGTGTGCTTATCCAGCTCTGTTTTTAAACCAGTTAAAACTCTTTCCTTCTATAATTCCTGATGGAAAGCTGCTTCTTTCTATTTGTATATCAGACTTACTCATGGTCAGTTTATACCATTAGTTCTTGTCCCTTTATCTTAACATAGCTTTTTTCGCTCCATAGTATTTGCAAGCCTGGTGTATTTAGCAACCATAAACTGCTCAATCGCCTTTTTGCAAAGATAAGCACATAAAATATTCTCTGTACTCAGAAGGGAAGCGTTTCCACATCCATTCTGTTTTGAAATTGTCTGTCCTGGGTTTGAATGACTAGAATTGCATTTGGTAGTTAGATGAATTCTAACTAATGCTTTGATGCAGTAGTGCTAATGTTAGTAATAGCTGCATTAGTGTTTTAGCACTAAAGTAAGTTCTCTACATCTGTCACCTGCAGTTGATGCCCCCAATTAGTAGAAGGTGGTCATCAAAGAAATGATTTTTCATTCTCTGTATCATCCCATTTCCCTTCTCAGTCATCTGTTTTTTTAAATATTCCTGCTTCTCCCTCTAGTTTGACATTTTTTCTTAGCATTACGTTTGCATTTTCACATAACCTCCTGTAAATTATTACATAATTTTTCTTAAGATCGGTCTTAAAGCCAGTTCTTGAGAACGTGTTAGTAAACTTGGTAGGCAGTATGACATAATCTCTTTTTCAGCTGGTTCTTTACCTATTTCAGTTCTTACACTACCACCTGTTTAACAGTGACATCCTATTTTAGCATCATAAAATGCTCTGCTGAGTCCACATAGATTAACTTTACTGCTTTTCCTTTTTGACTGACAAATTAGAGAAGGATCTCAGGTTTTCTGTCGTGGGCTACCTTTTGGTAACCTGGTGTTGAATCTTATCCTGTTTTCTTTTTAATTCTTTTTATTTTCATATTTAAGAATATTCAAATCTTACAATCATTTCAAGGTTATATTTTCCATGCTGTCAGACATCCTTTATCTGATGTCCTGTTTATTCCTACTTCAAGTCCGTAATAGTCCATATAATATATTGGAGAGCCTGTCTGTGACTGTTGGAACAAAAAGTACTTGTGAAGCAGGCTAAATTTAGATACCTTATATGAGAAAGCTTGAAAAAGTAATAGAATTGAGGTATGAGTAACATCTTTATGTGAAGTAAGGAGCTTGTCTCGTTGGCTACAAAGCTTCAGGATCAGCACAATGTGAAAGAATTGTTCTGGGTGATAAATTAATTTGTCCCTTTAGAAATGGAGTGGGATGGGATGGCACGTTGGGTGTATGGTGGAAAGGAAAGGTCATTCCTTGTTTACGGAGAGTCATCTTCTTTCTGGTCTGCTGGATGAGAGAGAGGGTTGCACTTTTTATTTTGTAATGTCATTTTGGCCTAAACTTAAGGAGAGACTGGGAAATACTTGGAGCATTAAAGTAGTGACTGAAAAAGTGCTTTTTAAAATTACAGTTTGTCAATCTAGTTTTCACATGCCCAGCTGACCTCTTAAGAAGGAACTTGATTTCTTTGAGGTTGACATATGGTTCCTCTTTCTTAAATGTCGATATATATTTAGCCAAACTAATTATGCCAACCATTAAATAGAAACTTCCTTGCCAAAGTAAGATAAAATTTCTGTGTAAATGATTTGGATGCTAGAGAATTATCTGAGAGAGTGCAAGCACAAAAATTGTTTAATTACTGTGCAGTGATAAAAATCTACTGGTGTTGTCCCATTGGGAGGGGAATTTCTGTATGCTACTCTAGTAAAAACATCAGTAAAAGAAGAGTTGTGTCGTGAGAAATTGTGTATTTTAGCTGTTAAGTTTGACTGTTATTCAAGGAGGAGTGGGGGAGATTACCAGCCAGTTCTTAGCTAATAGAGGTCTTCATCCAAAGAAAGACCAAACAACAAAAAAAACCCAAACCACCCCCCTGCAACCTATATACCAAACTTTTTTAACAGAGAATGATTTTGTAAATTTTGAGTATGAATAGCTGGCTTGTTTGTCTCTGAGCCTGCTTAGCAATTAAGAATAGCTCTTTATCTGTGCCATTAAGACAGTATTATTTTACAGAAAAGTGGGTGGTATCCAGTTTTACCCTGATATTGGCCAACCCCCAGCAAATTCTTACTGACATTGTAAAATGTAAGAATTATCAACAAATGTTTTCTTGAATGATTAATTCTGTATTTCTTTTTAAGTCTGTGTCCTGCCCCCACGAAGCTCTGATACGCTGAGACAGGGTATCCTGCATTCGTTGGTGCTACTTGTTGATATTACAACCCCACTAACACAAAAAAGCCTTTGTTTTCCAGGAACATTTTTCCTTTAAAGCAATTGAACTGTCTTGCAAAGTTCTCCGTGCATAATTGTTCTGGCTTGTTAACCTCAGCCTTAGTAGAGCTTTATCTCTGACAGTTGAGGGAGCTGACGGTGGTTGGTGAGTCGGTGGCCGGTGGCAGCCCAGGGGCTAGTTGCTGTGCTGGGGACCTTTGAGAATGGCAGTGTGAAAGTGGGGTGATCTGGTCAGAGAAATAATCAAACCTGTTACATCTTTTTGTTGATTGGTGTGTTACATTTGCTGGATTTTTTGTCCAACAGCTACATCCCCTCGAGTTTCCTCAGAGCTCGAGCAGGCCCGGCCTCAGACAAGTGGAGAAGAGGAGCTCCAACTGCAGCTCGCGCTGGCAATGAGCCGGGAAGTGGCGGAGCAGGTCAGTTCCTGTGTAGGTTTTCCAAAATGTCGCTGCTTTGATAGTTGAGACTACAGTTCTGTTTTTTTCAATGGCAGTTTGGCTTTGCTCCAGGTGGAATGGGGGGAAAGAAAGGCCATTTTGGAAGATATTGCTCTTTTATTTATTTTTTTTAAATATATTTTTTTAAAATCTTTTTTAAAGTCACTTCAGCCTCCAAGCTGTTGAGACTAGTGGAAGATGACAGTCACTTTGCAAGAAGACTTTGCGTGGGAGGATGTTAATCATCACATTACTGAAGATGCTTTCAGTTAGGAAGAACTGAAAACATGACTAGTCCTGAAAACCTTCATTAATGGGGCCAGCATAAGAAATGTCAAATCAGAAAGAATTCTGATTACAGTGAAATTTTGAATGATCTGTTCATTCGGTAAGATTGTCTGGAACAGAAGGCTGACCTGACGCAAAGTGCTAGAATATATAAAGAACCTGGTTTAAAATAACTTTGCTGCTAATCTATCACATGGGTTATGTTACTGTGTTAATTCTTAGGCGGTTCATTCTGAATTTGGAGTAAATGCTGTAATTGTGGATAAAGTTTACTGCATGTTAATACATACCCAAGTTGTTGAATCTCAGCTATGAGTGAAAATTCAAGTCGTCCGTGCTGAGTGGCTGTTAATATTTTTAGAGGCTTCCTGTGACAGTTTTCGCTTACTGCTGCATTAGTATCTCTGTGCTTGGAAGGGGAAACTATCACCCAGTAAACTTTGCCATTATTGAGCAATAAAATTAAAGAAAATAAAATCAGAATCTATCAGTCGAAATAGCTTTAAAAAATCACAAGGGAAATACCAGCTGAGGAATTAGTCAAATTCTGAAAGATGTGATGCAAGCAAAGATATTTAAAGTCGTTGAATGTACCACAAACATGGTAGTTTACCGATGTTAAAAATGTACGAAATATGCATGGAGTTTGCTGGATTAACTCACTTATATTATTCTTTACAACAGTTGCATCAGGTGTGGAGGGAAGCCTGACAAAAGCCAGGAAGATTAAAGTTTAAATCACCACGTCCTTCAGTGGTGATTTGATGCTCAAAAACATTACAATAACTTAGAAATGATAATTTGTCTTTAAGTTCTGTAGTGTTTTTAGCATTGTAACTAAATTTTGGAAAGAATGTCTCATTTATAGCTTTCCCATTAGGAGTAAAACAACACCAGGGTAAATTTCAGTCAGCAAAATGGATGTTGTTACAATCACACTGTTACGCTGACGTTACAGGGTCAGGGTGCTCCTGACCTCTTGTTTGAGACAAGAATCACAAGAAGTCTTTTTTCCCCGCCATTTGTGTTATGTACAAGTTACAGCAAATAATCCTGGCAATCCCACTGCGCGTGCCTGTGGTGCACATCGCTCCTGGGGTGGCAGGGAGAACTGCCCAAGCCTTCCCTGGCAGTGTCCTGCCAAGGGGGCTAGACACCTGGAGGGAGCAAGCAGCGCAGTCTAGGCTAATGGTCTATATCAACAGTGTTGATTTCCTTTGCAGGAGGAGCGCCTCAGACGCGGAGATGATCTGAGATTACAGATGGCTCTGGAGGAGAGTCGCAGAGACACAATTAAAATTCCCAAAAAGAAGGAGGTAGTGCCTTCGACTAAGAAATTCCTGGTTACGCTGCCAAAAGCTGAAATACAGTAACACAAAATAGCTTAATACTGAGCTCTTTTATGCTTTTGGGATTACTTTATTGTATAGCTTAAAGCTTCTTCCATGTGGGTTAAATTTCAAACTACTAGTCAATGCAGGTGTGTAAAAGGAAAAAAAAAATTGCTTCTTCACTCTCTTGGGTTTGTACTTCAGATTGGTAATGCTCTTGATTAAAGCTCAGATTATTCCTGCCCTCAGCATACCACTTTGTTGGACCTAATGGATGCCCTGCCCTCGTCGGCACCGGCCCCGCAGAAAACGGAGCCCTGGGGACCTCCTGCTGTTGCAAACCAAACTGATCCCTGGGGAGGATCCACAGTTGCAGCTACTGCCTCTGACCCATGGCAATCATTCGGTAAGAATAAACTGCCGGGAGGAATGCTTATTTAAAACTTTCTGCTTTTTAACGTTGAGCTCTTCAGAGTTTCTCGATGTACAATGTCATACTTGATAACAACAGTGTATTAGTCCATTTTGAGTGTTTCCTGTACTCTAGAACTAATGTTCCCCTAACTCATTTCCAAGCAGAAACGAATGGAAGTTGCACTCTGGTCCTTGTTTTTAAGCAGCTGGGTTTTTGTGTGTGCATTTGGAATCTGAAGAAAGAGAAGAGTGAGGCTTCTGTCATCTTTGTACAGCAAAACCAGCTTGTCTCAGACTGGAGGGGTGCTCATGCTTTGATTGCTAGTTTTGTCCAGTGTCGTGGGTTTAGACTCTTGCCAGTATTTAATATAGTATTTAGGCAGGCTGCTATGGTTAGGAAGGCTATGGATCTGAATGACCATGTCTTTAATTGCTTCTAGTGAAATCTGATATGTATACTGTCAGAACCAAATGGATTAAATTGTTTAAATGGAGATTTTTATGCTAAACAAAAAAACTAAGGTTGCCATTTTAACTATTCACTGTGTTTTATAAGCTTTTGATGCTAAATTCATGGAATCTGTTTCTGAAGTGAGAGATTCAGTGCTTTACATCTTAAAGAGCATTTAAGTCCATTTTTTGCATGTTTGCTTTCGTGTGTGTGTTTTGCTGCCTGTGTAGTGTGTTGTTTCCTAGGTTAGCCAAAGTCTGTCCAAGGAGTTACTCCTCTGCATAAGGAAGTTGATGGTTCCTCACAGTGCATGTTAAGCTTGCTACGTCTGTGGAATTGGAGCTGGATCTATTTTTTGTTGGCTTTGGATTTTTTTCTTTTTTGAGGAGCAGGGAGTTTCTGTGCAAATGGAAGCTTTTTCATGAAGACTAACAGCTTAGTTCTGTCAGTTCTGCTTCGGGCTGGTGGTTCTATGACCTCTGCTATAAAGTGCTGCAAAGTCATTTGCATTAGCATTCAGCACACCACCATCCAGATTCCTGATGAAAATTTTGAAGTTTAATAATGAAATGCATTTTTCCCCCCGCCTCCTCATGGTGGCATTAAAGGCACCTACATAGCTGCTATTTCTTTTTGGTGATGAACTGCAAACCTGAAATCAGAAAAAGTCAAAGTTTTGGGCCCTAAGGCTGTTCAATGTATTTTTCCGTTATTAAAAAACAAACAAAATCCACCTCCAAATCTCGTGCTTGATGTATCATCCTCTGACAAGATTTTCCTTGCATCAGTTGCAGCTATAGCATTTCCTCTCAGTGGCTCACAACTTTATTAATGCCATAGAACAACCCCTTGTTCCAGCTTGCTGGTTACTTGGCTCCCAAGGATAGTCTTGAGGATGTAAGATTTATGAATTTGCTAATAAGAGTGACTCATTAAACTGTATTTCTCAAATCCTGCATGTGCTTTGGCAATTCAGTAGAGATAATGGAAGCTATGGGAAGGTATCTTCCCAAGTGCTCTAATTTCGTGTGCTGTCTTTATGAAAGAAGAGACATTTTTGAAAGCTTCCATTTATGGGAAGTGCTGTCATTAGCATTTCTTGTGTGGCATTGCTCGTAACTCAGCACTAAGGGTAGATAAAGGAAATGTAAGTACCGGTGTGGGAATAGTTGGACGGACTTGGAGAATTTTAGCATTCCCTGGTCCGAAGCTATAGCAAGACCGTGCCACCTGTTGATGAAACAAAGACCAACATTACAAATTGGAATTTGTACCACTGTGTGCAGCATTGACTTGGTTCTCAAGAATATTGTGAGGCCAAGGGGGTTTGTGTGTAGTTTTAAAAAATAAAATGATGTTAAGTTGTAACTTGAAACCCACATGGTGGTTAAAGGTAACAGCAGTGTACCACATGGGTAATTCTATCCTACTCCTGGATTATACAGTTGTTCTCATTGAGTAATTAAAGCATGACTGGTTGAGAAGTTTCCTTGGGAAGACAAAATGTGTTTGCATGTACTATCTGACTTGAAGGCAATTGATCCCCGTAGAGTTGTACAGGATGTGCATTTAAAGTACTAGCTTCCCATTCCTGCGCTCTGATGGCTGGGGAGGGGCAGCAGGGATGGACAACACAGGAACAAAGTGAGAGTAATACCTTCCAACACAGACCTGGCCCACTGCAAATCTGAAATGTGATTTGCTTCAGTGGTTCTGGGGTTTGATAAGCCAAAATAGTTTAATGGTAGAAGGAAGAAGAGGTCACCTAAGCTGAAAAGCAATAAATTAATAGGTTGGGGAGGAAGGAGGAAAAACTGGCAGGAAATTGTATATCATGAGGCAAGTTTCTTTCTCTTTCCTTCTCCCTTTACTGCCTTAATTTGTCACTTTACACTAGGAAGCCCTAACCTTGTGTGCAACCTGAAGCAGTGTGGTAATCTGAATTTGTAGGAATGAAGAATTGCCAGCATCTTCCAATGAAAATGGGAATCTGAACATACAGGCATGGGGTTAAAAAAAAAAAAATACAGGAAGGGGTATCAGTGGACAGCTTAGATCTATGTCAGGAAGAATGCTTACAAATGGGAATAAAAAAAAGCACAACTAGCTCAGAAAAGCTGATTATATTTTTATAAAATAACAGTATGGTTAAAAGAGTTTGAAAACTATTCCTTTTGAATCTTACAGATTCCTTTGTCCAAGTCTTAATGTTGTGTATTTCATACCTCTTACACATAGGATTTTTAGAAACCTTCTTTCCTGGGAATTCATAAATACACCCTGTGATTTAGGTCACCTTCAGTCAGATGTTGTCTGTTGTGGTGGCAATGTCTGTAACAAAAGCAAGTTTATTTTCTTGTTGGAACTGCAGATTTCTTTTTGCTGAGTTTTAAATGCGAGACTTGTTTTATTCTCTTGAGCAGAATTTACTTGTGTTTTTTGTTCAGTATGTATGACACCGATGCTGAGACTTATCACTATTCCTAACGTTGAACTGCTTCACCTATTTATGTTTAGTATTAATTGGCAGTGATGGCTCATGAGAGATTAATCTCCCAGGGAAGTTTCCAAAGTGAAACTGTACTGACTTTTGTTCCTGCTGGCTCTTTTTGCAGGTGCCAAACCAGCTGCTTCCGTTGACCCTTGGGCAGCACCAGCAGGATCCACAGCTCAGTCTTTGTCCAAAAATGTTGACCCTTGGGCTCCTGCTCAGCCATCTTCTACTGCAGCAAAATCTTCTGTGGACCCCTGGGGACCAGCACCTGCGAACAAACCTCTCTCTACTTCTGGTGAGAAACAGTCTCATCCCATGTCCGTATTATTTGAGTAGTGAAGGTGAAATCTGAACAATGTTCTTGCATTGCTTGGTTAAAAGAAGCTATGTGCTGAACAATTGCAGAACTGGTCTGTAAAATAAATGGGAGTTGTAATAGCTAGCAGTGAAAAGAACTTTTTTTCTGACTTATTATTCTGACTTAAAGCTGTGAATTCATGTTGCTTCTTCATGCTCTGTCCCTTCTAGATTCTTTTATTGGTATATGTGGATGCATGCTGAGCACTTACGGCTGCTGCTGTTCAGATAAATGGGCTTTATCTTTAATTAGACAAGGACTTAATTTCTGGAAATGAATGATACTATAATTTTACCTTTCATCATGATAAATAGCTATGCAGATGGATGTCTCTGCAGATGTAGATTGACAGGTTGAGCAGCTCCACACTCTGAGGAGACTTCTAGAGGTGCAAATGAAGGTTTGTTATTTCAGACTGAGGGTGTGAAAGTTATCCCTAAGCCCTTGTTAAGCAAGGTGCAGAAGGTGCTGATGTACATGCTCTGTAACTAATGCAATCTTGATGAATCTTAATGCCTGGTATTTTCATGTTGGCACCATGGCTTAAATGCATCCTAAATGCATTTTCTGCTAGTCATTCATCGCAGTACATAATAAACAGAAGAATCTCAGGGTACTGCAAAAAGTTGTCTAATCAGCTTTTCACTGGGCAAAGGGCAATAACCGGATCATTATGAGAATGATTCTTTAACTATGGTGGGTCTTTGATCTTGATAAGAAGTGTTGTTGTTATACACAGTCTTTACTCATTCTCTTGTGTTTTTTGTCTTTTTGCGCTCTCTATGGAGCTAAGTCTGAACCTTCATTTGCTTGAAATACGTTGAAGGTTAAAATTAAATCAGAAAAACATTTCAACTAATTAAAAAAAAAAAGGTAAACTTTAAAGCTTTTCAGGAGTGTGATTGCTGTTCATTTAGGTGTGGTTTTTCTTCCTCCATTTTGAGGTAAGGGTGTGTCCGCATTTTGAAAATGTTATGTTTTCATTGCTTGCAAACTATGGGCAAGTTCTGGTGCTTTAGCTAACAGGGCCTTACCATCTCTACATGGTATAGATAGCCTTTTCTCTTGCATTCTTCCTCCTTTTAACTTCAGAAGTATAAGTCAAATCGTCACTTAGGTTGTAGCAATGCTACATTTGTCTTTGCAGCTGTATTTGGAAGTGTTTTACTTGAGGGCTGGTTAACGCACTTTAGCGTTCAGACTGTAAATTCGTTGCTGCTGTTCTTCCACAGCAATATATACCTTCCTATGCATCTCTCTAGTGCAGACACTCAGTAAAACCCCACATGTTAAGATGTGCCTTACATTGGGATTTAAAAGCACATTGCTCTGAATTAGTTGCTTGATACTGTAAGAAAGGACAGTTCGCCGCCGTTGTCCTTCTTCATGGTCCTGCATAAGAGCAGGAGCACTCAAGCTGGTCTGAACTGCTGCCTGGAACCTGACAGAGTGGCTTCTTGGTAACATGAATGGGTTAGAAATTGCTTTCAGTAGGGTCAGGTGTGTGATGCAACCAAAGATCTGGTAATGATAGGGCTGTCTTGTTGTTTTGAACAGGAAGTACATCTTTTGACCTCTTCAGTAATTTGAATGGTACAGTTAAGGATGATTTTTCTGAATTTGACACACTTCGAACTTCCAAAAAGCCAGGTATGAATCAAATTCTTAGCATGTGGACAGTTTGGGTGATAGTCTCAGCAACAAATGTCTCTATGCTTAAATTTTATTAGAGAAAAAAAAAATTACTCTTACAAAGGAAAAGATTAAAACTGGTGATAATGCAGCAGTAAAAGCTTGTTGTTAACATTTTGGCCTGTGCATGAACTTATGGGGAATGAGCTTTTTGCATTGTAAGCCATAGAATTTCACTCTGTAACCTTTCGCTGCATTGACCCAGAAATTTGTTTGACTTCTAAATTTACAGTATCCAACATGTTTGGAGTATGGTTCATGCTCAGTGTCAAACAGGACAATGTCGACTGACTTTCTTAAATAGGTAAATTCTAGTGTGTAACAATAGTAGGAAGATGAGAAAATACACTTCTATGAATGCTTTCATTTATTTTTTTATTTCATCATTAGTCACTAAAATAAAAACTGCCAGACCTTAAGGTAGAAGTGCTTTGATACTATGTACTTTCAGGATGGTTCTGCCTGAAAAAGAATGGTGACTAATTCAAAGCTGGGCTAGGCTTCTTTGTCACAAAAGAGAAAAACTGGTAGAATCTGGCTAGGAAGAGTGCAGCAGTGGTGTAGTGCAAGAGCAAAAGCCAAGATTCTTAGTCCCATCTGTTGCAGCATAGCTGTGAGAATACCTGTCAGGGTAAATCAGGGAACGCCTTCAGTAGAGCACTGCAACTCTAACTGTAGCTTCTTCATGCTCATCTAAAGAACATTTATCTGCTTGCATGCTATGAGGGTGTAGCATGTACTGAAACATTTAAATCTGACTAATACAAACATTAGATTTTAAAACATTTCTGCATCAGAGACTTAAGAGTTTTCTTTGCTTGACTATGTAGATTAATGAGATAAGTTTTGTTTTTCTCTTTATTACTATTTCAGCTGAATCAGGTTCCACTTTGCCATCTCAGCATAGCGGTACCACAAGTCCTGATCTCTTTGATTCCCAGCACTCAAGCATGACATCAGGCAAACAAAGTGCAGCTCGGAAAACCCCTGAGTCTTTTTTGGGCCCCAATGCTGCTTTGGTGAACCTGGATTCACTGGTGTCTAAGCCGCCGCAACCTGTTACTTCACTGAATCCATTCTTGGCACCAGGTCTGTTTCTGCACGTTCCTTAAGTTTTCTATTTTAGCTTTCCCTTCCTATAGGAAAACTCTGCATAACTCAATCCTATTTCATTTAACGTAAGCTGGTTTGGGCTCATTTTTCTTGACTACTTTAGCTAACAGATCATGACTGAGAGCAGGAGGGTGAGGCAGCATGGTTTCAAGGTATATGGCCGGACCCTGAAAGCGCAGAGTTTCTACTCCTGCATCTGCAGCTGATCTCTGATCAAGCAGCTTCTCTTCTACTTTTGCCCTTGCTCTCTCAAAATGATCTGTGTTAGAAGAAGGCTTTGGGTTATCAAAAATGCCTGAGCTAAAGCTGATTGATTGTCAGAAAAGATAAAATGTGAACCTGTCCCACCAGAGAATCCCTTGGGAAGGTAATAGGTTCTTATGGAAGCAGGTAGGAATTGCCCTTTGGCTTGTGCTACAGAAGGCACAGTAGCATCTCTGACTGCAACCTGAGGTTCCAGATAGCAAATTCTGCAGTGTAATTTAGTGGGTTGCTGGTTAGGCTGGCTTTAAGCTAGCATGATAAACTAGTTTTGATTAAAACACGCTCTCAGTGTATTTTGGGGGTGAGGGGAAGAAAAGGCTATTGCAGTTCTGCTGTAAATTGGCCCCTGTTAGAAGTGAGCCTTTACTTACAGCAGACCTAGATGGTGACACTGAACATGTGGAAGATGTATCTATTCTTTAAAAGCTATTCATATGCACTGAAATTTCTGTGTGACACTAGTATGGTGAAGTACTTCAAATGCTATTTCAGTATTTATTTTCTTCACTCTTCCAATGGACAAAAATGATGTGTTTTTAAACTCCTTGGGTAGGGAAAAAACCCAGTAATTCTGAACAGCCTTGGCAGTGTTTAGCAAGAGGAAGTCTGTGTATCTGCCATTACCGGTTACTACAAAAAGTTTATAAGGGGTCACTAGGCCATCCAAATAACGCTATACATATACGGTAAAAGGAATTTGTAGTGTTGGCAGCAGTCCAAAGAACCTCAAACGCTGGGAAAGTTATTCTCTGCTTTTTCTAGCACCGCTGTAATTCGGAAACAACTTGTTTACTCTATGAATTCTTGTCAAAACTCAGTGCCAGAAACATGTACAGCTTCTAAATGGAGTTGACTGGATGACATCTTGAAGCAAACACACAAATCTGCAGTAGCTAGATTGAAGTAAAGGAGTACAGAGAGCCTGCAGTTCTCTTCTGTAATGCAGATTTTAAGTAGCATTTAAAAAAAAAGAAGAGACCTGGATGTCATGGCTAGGCATGTTCTAGGTAACAAAATTTAGAACCTTGTCTCTCCAGTGAATCCTATCATAAGTGGAAACTGTTGGTCAGCAAAAGAATGTCTTGTGGCATTGATAGGTTCAAGGAAACAGACTGTACTCGTGCACCAGTGCGGCCCCAGTTTGCTGAATGGCATCCGCACAGGTTTCTCCGCAGGGTGTTTTGGGGTTGGGAGCATGTGGGGATGTACAGAAGATGCGTTCTTTGCCACAAAAGATGATCTTCAAAACCTTGTGTGTATGGAGGTGCGATCTCTTTCCCGTTTTCCCTTCTTCTCTCAAAACTAGGCGCTGCTACAGCACCAACTCCAATCAACCCCTTCCAAGTGAATCAGCCTCAGCCACTCACTCTAAATCAGATGAGAGCGAGTCCTGTGATGGGAACCAGCCCTTCTTTCAGTGCTGTGCCACCGATAAGCATGGAGCCAATACCTCTGTCTTCCATGGCCCCAGTGCCTGTGGGAATGGCACCGATACCAGCTATGGGCACTGTGGCATCTATAACAAGGATGGGCCAGGGGCTGAACGTGAGCATTGCAGGATCAATGACCCAACCTCTTCACAGTACAGGAATCCCGCCGTCAGCATCCCAGTCTACAAATACAACTAACCCTTTTCTCCTATAAAGACCCAATTAAAGGAACTTTTCTTTTCATAGTGTTTCCAGGCTGAAGTCTTTACAGCGAAATGAACGTGGCCTGTGTGGACTGAACGGTGTGTAAGAGACTTGGAAGTAGATTTGCAGTTTACAGTTATGATCTTTGAAGAGTTGTCTCTACTTACCAGTTAATCTAAATCTAGTCTTTGCTACAGATGGTACCTTACTTTGGCTTGTTGAGCATTATGTGAAATGTTCAGACTTTTCACCAAAGTTAGATTCTGCCCATTTTGTTACTTTGTTAATCATTTCAATACACTTTCTAGGGAGAACCTGCCATTTTAAACTCCGTTGGCTATTTTGTAGATGTCAGATGATGTGCTGGATCCTGAAATTACTATTTACCTGCATCTGTCACTTCCTATGCCCATATGATAGACCTGAGATTCAGAGTGCTAGTGAATGTTTTGCACATAACTATACACAGTTCTAGACTGTTGGTTCACCCATAGTCCTTACTCTTAGAAGAGAACGATTCGGAGGGCCCAGGTGGCTGGTTTTTATGCATTAAACATTGCAACGCAAAATCGCACTGCTTTCGTATCAGAGGTTTGACCGAGAAAGCAAGCTTGTCTCAAAAGGAAACAAAAAAACAGACAAAAAAACCCAAGAACATTCTCAAGTTGTCGAGTATAACATGTGCTGTCGTATGCAGTGTTGAATTTGTACACTACTCTAAGGACTCCTGAGGAACTCTCTGTGAGTGGCATGCTGCACTCGTGCTGAGTGAGTGTCCTGCTCTGTGCTTGTCCAGTACCAGCTTCGTTTGGAAGTTATCATGTGTATTTTGTTTTTATTTGACTTACAATGTGAGTTGAAAGAAAAAAGAAATACAATGGGACAACTTTGAATTCAGTTTCACCGGGGCAAGCTTTAAAACTAATTCAGGCTTAACCTTGCTATATGCAGTTACTCTTGTATACTTTTGCACATATTTTGTTTAGTACAGTTTCATATTTGAGTTTGCAGAGTTACCTAATAGTCCTTTTTTTGCTAATTTTTATAATGTGGTTCTTATTTAACTGTCTGGTTTTGATAGATTTATCAAGTCTGGCTGAAAAATTAAGATATTGGCAAATGTCATTTTTATGGTTTTAATGCCCTCTTATTTATGGTTTTAGCTCTTTGTTTCTGTAAAGAGAGTTTAAAAGGGAAGATTAACACTAAAATATTTACTTTTAAATGAAGTATTCATAATGCAAATCAAAACAAATTCTCGTGACTAATTATTTTTAGATGAATTTGAGCATAACATGATTTAAGACTACATTAAAAAGAGAAAACACTAAAGTCGCCTTTCCCTTGATTTGTTCCTGTTTTCCCATTACCAAAATGGACAGACGTTTAGCCTTTGTGAAGATCGGAAGGGAGGCTGTTTTTTCTTGTAATGCTTCTTGAGGTGTTAAAAATTCTAATGTACAAACACGACTCATTAATTTTATTGACTAATTTTTCTTAATGAAAGGTGCACTCCATATTAATAACCGGTTCCATTTACAACTATTAATTGTAAGCTGAACTATACATTTTTAACTTGCATGTCTGGACTCATCGGCACTAAACCACGCTCAGGTTTCAGCCAGCGTTTCTGGTGGAAACCTGGCCTTCTCAAAGACGGCAACGTTTCTGAGCTCTGCTTTCATGAGCAACGCAAATGTCCGCAGAGCTTGTGGAAAGGGATGTCCCAGTGCTTGCTACTGCCTTGAGGGCATCCCTGTGAGTGAACTGATGCATCTTGGTGGCCTTTCCCTAATTAGAAGGAGGGGGAAAAAGAAACCAAACCAACAAAAAACAAAGAAGCTGAAAGAAATTGCCAGAGTTCTGTGTTCTGGTGTAATGATGCTGTGTGGGACTGTGCCAGTCTAGGGTTGTGTGGTGCGGGAAAGAGGGGCTGGCTAACGTGGAAGGGACTGGGTTATATCTTTTGGTGGGTAGGGGAGGCTGAAAGACTATCAAATCTAGGGTACAATCACAGATTTTAGCTGTGTTAGGTCAGTGTAGCTCTATTAGTATACGGAATGCTAAATGTGTGGATGTTTCTATGCAGATTGTTCTATCCTCTTGAATACTATTGAATTTGCAAGTAGGATTCAGAATGCTCATCTGCTCTTGGTTTTATATAGGAGGAAAGAGAATTGCTGTCCACACCCAGTATGTCTTTAAGAAAACAAAACAAAAAAACCATTCATGTTGCCTTTCAGAGTAAGGAAAAATACTTTACTTTTTTGTTGTTGTTGAAGTTATTGAAAAGTGTAGACCAGGAAGGGTGTAATTCTTGCAGATGGGGGGGGGGAAGTGCTTTCCAATTGATCTGTGGCAAGATTTATCCTTCATTGTTTTTCCAGTTTCATTTTAGCAGCAGTGGAATTGAGGTCACGTGATGTTTTTCCCTTAGTCTGTCACCTGAATGCATTTCCAACAGTCAGATGGGGCATTGTCTATTCAGCCAAGAAGTTCTAACCGCATCCTCTTGTGAAACACTAGGTAACTGTTTTTGGAGGCGAGATGGGGTTGATAGTAAGTATTTAAAATGATGAAGTCATCTACAGTTCGGAGTCATGATCTGTCACCGTGAATTGATAAAAATGTGCTGTTGGTCTGGTAGGAAGCCCTCACTTAATGAAACTGCTGAATGGCAAATTGTTGCTTTTACCAAGCCACTTCTGTAAGACCTGTATTACTTTTACATTAAATATATATATGTAGACATATATTGCACCATAAACCATTGCAAGGCGCTCTGAAGAGCAATCAGCCCAAACTATGGTGCTGTAAAGCATTAGGCTAAGGACTAACCATGCCGAGATTCCCAGCCTGACGTGGGGGAACTGAGCTCAAGAGAACGAGCAGCTGGTTTGATAAATCTGCTTGGTTCCTGGGCTGGAGACGTGCCCGTGTCCCTGCAGGTGTGGGGTGCTGTGGCAGTGACGCTGAACAGTGGTTTCTGTCCTAGTCAGGTGAAGCTTCAGTTGTGTCCAGAATGGTAAATCTCTTTTTGCGATAATTAAACTGCTCTCCAGAATAATTCTTCCTCCCTCCCCGCCCTCCCACTTCTTTTTGCATGGAGGACGCGTGCGTATCTGATCACATCTGCTCTGGCGTATTTCTCCAAATGCGTTTCCCTCTTCCACTTCTTTTCTGACTCGCAAATATTAAAAGTGCTTTTGATTTTTAAAATGTTAGTATCCCGAAATAGCCTTACTGGTCAAATTGACCAAAGATAAAGTGTTAAATATTTTGTAAAAAAAAAAATTAAAAAAAAAAAATCTTGGCATAATTTTAAACCCAAAATAAGCTCAGTTATTTATTCAGTTTTATACTATATAGAAACTAAACTACATTGAGGGGACGGGGAAGGAAAACCATGGTGGGTTGTGGTGTTTACAGTCTTTTTGAAGTCCCGTAGCTAAGACAACTATTGTTATCCATCTTCCCTTTTGCTGTTACAGTTTCTAATGTGTACTGTATGTATTAATATTGCACAAATTGTGGAGAAATATATGGTTTATTTTTCACAGCGGAATCTCACAAGACTCGCTTCCTTTACAAGTGTTACAATTTAAATATTTACCAAACTGTTTTCATAATACTGGGAGCCGGCTGCTTTTTATGAATTTGTGCTATTGACATTATTTACTGTATAAATAATTTATCATTTGTACTATTGTATCATAATGTCTGTATCTTTGTGTCATTTTTCCCGAGCGATGTCACACATGTGATATTTAATAATGCCATCAGAACAGTGGAAAGACAAGGGGTTTGTAGGTGACTGGTCCGAATTAAAACTGTATTGCTTATATTCCAGCCGTGTTGCTTTTTCAAGACTCTGCGTAGTGTTTATATCCCATTCAAAAAAAAACCAACCTGTCGCTGCCATGCTTGATGTAGTTTTCAAGAAAGTTGATGGATTGGTTGAGATGATTTGAGATTTGTGCTACCAGTCCTAGGTGCTAGGAGAAATCTAACCGTTCCTGAGAGTAATGCTTCTTGTACATTGTCAATGTGATTTCCTCGATGCGTGCATCACTTTCCTGGGGCAGGCCTGCTCTGAGGATGAGAAAGAGGAGGGTTTCTTATAGATCACTTAAATCGGAATCAGCTGAGACCTTACTAACTCAATAAAAATGAAGACTTGCTGTGTTGCAGGTGGCTGAATTGCTTCTTTAAACCACGTTACCCCTTTCAGTGGCACTTCTGGAGGGATGTTCAAGTCCTGTCTCGGTGGAGGCTTCTGTATGCCAAGATGGGAGTCTGGGGAAGGCGTGACTTTTAAAGCATCGTTCGTGGAATAAGGCTTGGGGAACTGTGACAAAACTGACTCTGGGTGTCCTCGCTTCCCGTTTTTGCAGCAGTTCAGTCTTGCCCTTCCCGCAGCATTGGCTCTGCCCCATCGATCAGGTGGCCTTGCAGAGGGGGTAGCAGGGAGCCTGCCTCCAGCTGGGAAGTGAATTTTTGGCTTCTAATTCTGGATGGTTTAAATTGAAGGGTACTTCATTAGCAGGCTGTTTCAAGAGCTGCCTCTCCAAGAGCCCGTCCAGGTTTGCTGCCAATCAGACTCATCACTAATCAAATACTTAATTTCTTAATGCTAAAACTGCAGTGGTGCTAGAGACCTGACTATCGGAAAGGTGGGCCCGGGGAGAAAAGCCTCTTGGTTTCAGACCTGTGGTACAGAGCTGGCTGGGGGTGTTGTGCAAACTCACCGGTTTCCCTGGAGAATGAGGTTGCCTCCGGTCAGGCCTTTTGATTCATTTTGCTTCTGGTTTTGGGCTGGTAAGGAAGACAGAAAAACTCCTTTGCCGGGGTGGCAGCCTGGATAGCTGTTGCTTTTGGTACCTCTCGTTTTTGCAGAAGGATGCTTTCTGCTCCTGTGCGGGAGGGCTCTTCTGGGCACGTGTGTTTATTGCTCCCCTGGCCGGTCTCTATTTCTGTGTGGTCAGTATGTATTCACTGTTTTACTCTGGCCTCTTGAAATTGCACATTTTAAAATAAAG